CTTGGTTGGCCTGGAAACCACTCTATAGACCAGATTGGCCTTGAACTCATAGGAATTCTCCTGTCTCTGCCTCCTGAGTGCTGGGATTAAAGGCATATGCCACCATGCCTGGCTCCTATGTCTGGCTTTTTTATGGGTGCTGGTCTCCAAACACAGATCCCCATATTTTCGTGGCAGGCAGCTTGCTATCTGAGCCATCAACCAGCCCCTACCATTGGTTTTGATGTCAGAGAATGTCAATGCTTCTGTTCCTGGGAGCAGCCACACTGGCTACCTGCTGCTCGCATGGTGCCTTTGGAGCTCTCTCAGAACACGGCCCGAAGTGCCCTCTGCTGGGGCAGATGCCCTGCTTCATGTGTGGCATGCCTGTCCTCCTAGGGTAGCACTCTGCTTACACAGTGTTCTGCAAAGAGAACACCCAGTCAGCTGAACCTGGCCCAGAATGAACACAGATGGTGAAATTAGCAAGGGAAGGCACTAACGAGTAATTCAAAGTGCATTCCATATGCTGAAAAGGTTAGAAGGGAAAAAAAGCTGAATAGATTAAGATGACTCAGCAGATAGAGACACTCACCTGATGACCCGAGTTTGATTCCCAGAACCCAAGTAAAGATGGAAGGAGAGCATCCACTCCACAAGATTGCTTCTGACATCCACATGCACAATGTAGCACATGTATGCTACTCTTACATATACACACACACACACACACACACACACACACACTCCAAAATAATAATAAATAAAGTTTAAAGAAGAAAAAAAACCCCAGGCCTATCAGACAAAGTGTGACTGCACATGTCTACAATCTTAGGACTTGGGAAGCTGAGACGGAGGACCACAAGTCCAAGGTCATCTTCTGGCTACATAATAAGTTCAAGACCAGTCTGGGTTACGTGAGACCCTGTCTCAATCAATCAATCAATCAATCAATCAATCAATCAATCATTGAATGTTGGGCTGGAGAGATGGTTCATCAGTTAAGAGTGCTTCCTGCTCCTGTAGTTAAGTTCCTAGCTTCCTTTTAGCAGCTCACAAGGGTCTGCAGCTCCAGTTCAAGGGAATCTGGTGCCCTCTTCTGGTCTCTGAGAATACTACACACACACACACACACACACACACACACACACACACTGCACACATGCAGACAAAACATCCGTACACATACAAATAGTTTTAAAGCAAAAACACTTCTTTAAGAAGTTATAGAAACGATCGTTCCAATTTACGAAGTAGAAGATGTCCTGGGAGGGCTGCAGAGATGGCTCAGTGGGAAAGAGTTGAGTGGAGCTGGTAAAGGGGAGCTAGAGGAGGTGGCGCACACCTTTAGTACCAGCACTCAAGAGGCAGAGGTAGGCAGATCTCCGCAAGTTTGAGACTAGCCTGGTCTAAATAGTGAGACCCTGCTTTTAAAAAGAAGTATGTACTGCTTTTATAGAGAACACAAGTTCAGTTCCCAGTACCCACACTGGGTGGCTCACTATTACATGTAACTCTGACTCCAAGGGGATCCTATACTTGGTGCCTCCAGAGGCACTTGCATTCATATGCACATATTCAAACACAGTCGCTAATTAATAATAATAACAATAGGAGCTGGAGAGATGGCTCAGTGGTTAAGAGCACTTGTTGTTCTTTTAGAGAACCTAACACCAACACAGTGGGTCAAAACCATCTGTAACTTTAGTTCTAGGAAATCTGACACCCTCTTCTCATCTAAACAGAAGGAGAAATCTGGGAGGTGAGATCTAGGAAAGAAGAAGTAGCCAGAGAAGGAGGAGGACTCCAGGGTTCAGCCACCCAGCTACACAGCAAGCCACAGAGTAAGAGTAAGATTTACAGAAGTAAGAGAATGAGAAAAGCCCAGAGGCAAAGGGTAGATGGGATAATTTAAGAAAAGCTGGCAAGAAACAAGCCAAGCTAAGGCCGGGCATTCATAAGTAAGAAAAGGCCTCTGCATATTAATTTGGGAGCTGGGTGGTGGGCCCTCAAAAGAGTAAAAAACAACAAATGACAAGAGTAGTCTTTGCCTAGCATGTGCGAGGATGGCTCTGAGTTCATTTCATTCTAAGCATCACAAAAACTGGATGTGTTGGCCCATAGTATAATTCCAGTACTCCAGAGGTGGAGGCAGGAGGATCATTCAAAGAAGAGTTGGTTCAGCAGTTAGAAGCACTTGCTGACCAGGCATGGGGGCACATACCTTTAATCCCAGTACTACAGAGACATAGGCAGGAGGATCTCTGTGAGTTCAAGGCCATCATGGTCTACATAGTGAATTCCAGTTCAGCTAGAGGCATACAATGAGACCCTGTCTCCAACAACAACCAAAAGAAGTAAAGTGGGTTGGAGCATGCCCAATCTGAGCATCATGGTGCATACCTGTTATTTCAGCACTGGGGAGGCAGCAGGATCAGGACTGTGTTTGAGGTCATTGTGGGTTACATAGCAAGACTATCTAAAAACCTACACTAAGGGATATCATTCAGAAGTGCTGATACATAGAACATGTTAAATAATAAAAAGGAAGAGAAGACAGACAAAGGGAGTACACAGGGTTTAAGTTCAGGTGAAATTCCCCACAATAAATTAACTTCTGTAACAGAAGCAGATCCACAGTCCTACAAATGTGGTGGTGAAGAGGGAGGGACACGAAGATCACGGGAACCGGGTAATAGAGGCACCCATCCCTCCCCCGGCTGTGATGTTCATGGTGCACACATATGCATGAGAATTTACCATAATGTATACACTAAACATGTGGGCCTCTTCCTCTGGATTTCTCTCCATACAGAGGTTTTACATGGAAAGAAGGATTCAAGCAGGACCCGAGGGCAGATGGTCATCGGATGTTAATCCTTGCCAAAAAATTCATTTCTTCTTTTTTTTTTTAAAGATTTATTTTACTTTATGTGTATGAGTGCATCTATATGTATGTGTGCCACATGTGTGCTCGGTGTTCAGCAAGGGCAGAAAAGGGTGTTGGATGCCCTAGAGCTGGAGTGATGGATGGTTATGAACTACCACATGGGTACTGAGAATTGAACCTGGGTCCTCTGCAAGAGTAACAAGTGTTCTTACTCTATCCAGCCTCAAGATTTCGTTTCTTTATACCCTCTTGCTGGATCTTATTTGTGAATGTCTGTAAGGTTTTTTTTGTTTTTTGTTTTTTTTTTGGTCTGTTTTTTAGGAGAGGATCTCACTAGGCTGACCTTGAACTCCTGGACTTACTTCAGCTTCTCAAGTGCGGGACTATACATAGGTCATAAACCTAACTTGTAGGAAGACTGAATCCTACGTCTCTGCCATGTCATCTCTTCTGGAAATTTCTGCTGGAGAACAAGGACTTCTGGCTGTCTTGCTCTGGATGTTCCATTGGGATGTTTCACAAACCCACTTGCCTGGCCCACATGGAGTTCTTTCATGTGTCAAACACACATGGATACCACTGGGGTGATTAAACACAAGCTCAAGGATGTTTCAGTGTAAGAAAATTAGGTTCAATGGAAGAAATATACCACATTAATAGACTGATGAAAGCCCACACCATCATATCAGAGAACCACACCCTTTCCTGATAAGATCCCTGGAGAACAGAAACCAGAGGAAATTCCCTAACACGATGATCCTTATGAAAAGCCCAGTTATCTTCAGCAGAAAACTACTTGCTGGAGGGAGGCAGAATATAATCCTTGTGGACAGTCTGGTCCTCTCGGTCTCTAACTTCTCCACTGCCTGCCAGGCCATGCTATGCCCTACACCACGGTCTAGCTTCCACAGGCTACACCAGCTCCTTCATAGTGTCCCTCTTCCCCGGCTGAGGCTCCAGACATGACCTCTCTCTGGATTGGTCCTGGAGGGCCTAAAGTAGCACTCTCTGTGGTCAGCACCTCATGTCTTACACTTCAAATGAGCCCAGACTCTGAGAAAATCCAGCCTGCCCTGTCCCTTCTTTCCAGTACTCTACTGTCCCCGAGATACAGCAGCTCCTGGAGGAAGTCCCATGCCTCAGTAGCTCCTTGCAAACCCAGGTTCTGTTAAGGACTGTTTTATTGCTATTTCTGGGGAAATCCTCCACTGAAACAGCAAAAAATATGACAGCAACATCTCAAAAAGACCCCCAATGCTCTTCAAGGCCAAGTAGCATACCATAGCCTTATTTCCACCAGAAGCAAAAAGGTTACAATGGCACCCACACACACACACCAGCAGAGTCACACCTGGTGTGCTCCACAGCTGGAGACAGCTGGCTCAAGGGCTCCATTGCAGCCCTGTGCTTCCCCTGTTTGACCATGCAGACTCGGGCCGCTGCCTGAGCCACAGTCTCTTCACCTGCTCAAGCAATGAACAGAAGGACTTCCTTCCTGGGGGAGCTGATTCCAGGAGAATCAGTTTGGCTCAGATACAGGCAGTGCCAGGAATATCATGGTCCTCCCCGGCTCCAGACGGGCTTTTCCAAAGGAAGGCAGCCCCTCCATCCCTCCTGCTGCAGGAATCAGAGGCCGTCCCTTCATTCTCCGTAAGTTACTCAGTACCCAAAGACACAACCATTAGCAGGAGTGTCCCCACTGAAGGTACACCCACAGCCTCTGGAAAGGAGTGCAGGGGCTCCAAGGGTCTGCTCTTCCTCCTCCGTGCCTTTCTCCCTCCCTCCCTCTCCTGTTTGAATCAGGCTCTCACTTATCATAGGCTCACCTCATATCCTGATCCTTGGCTGCCTCTGCCTCCCAAACGCTGGGCTAACACATGTGCAACACCACACCTGGCCTCACTTGACCTTCCCTTCCTCCAAGGCTTGGTTCACTTCCACAGGTGACTAATGACAGTCAATAAACCACAGAGGAAGTGGCTGGCTGGCCTGCCTAATAATCTGGGCCCAGCAAAGACTTTAGAATCCCGTTACTGGACAACTAACAGTCTTGCAAGCTACACGCAGTCCTCGGCCACCTCAGCCCTTCTCTTCTCAGAACCCTCCCCAGCCCATTTCCCCGCCCTGCCTCCTCACCTGCTGCTCTCTTCCTTGGAGGTGACCAAGGCTGTCGCCCGCCCGCTGCGAACCGGGAGCTCCTGTGCCCTTTCCTCGGGCTCGGGCTCCAGCGAGGAGCCGGTGCTCCCATCGCGGCTGCCCCTTCCCGGGCTGCTGTCTGCAGAGGCGCGCGGGGACTCGGTGTTCTGCTTCAGCGTCTGCAGTTTGGCCAGAGGGATGATGTCGCAGTTCTGTGGGCGATGCCACACGGTGCGCTGTGAGGCGGCGCTGTAGTAGTAGAAGCGCGACGTGTTGGGGTCGAAGAGCTCCCACCACTGGTCCTCGCTGGTGCGCTTGATGCGCACTCCGGCCGGGGGGTCCCACACACACTCCCCGGTGACCAGGTTGGCGTACATCCGCTCCCGAGTGCGCGGTTCGATGATCTCCACCCACTCCAACCTGCAGGGGACACGGGAATCAGCCAAGACCCCAGCTCTCACCTATCTACTGGACGGGGGCTGCCACCAGCTGCCGAGTGCTCCTGCACCTGGTGCTATTTCCTAGGAACCCTCAGGGCAGGAGGACCACAAACCACTGCCCCTGTCTGGTCCTCAGCCTGCAGCCCTGTAATCCTTTTTCTTTCTAAAAATGTAAAGCACTCCAAACAAGGCCATGTTATCGAATACGAGTATGTTTGATATCAGGCTGTAAATGTTTAAAGACTGATTCCAAGTTTTTGTTTATTTAAGGTTCATTTTATTTTTATTTTTGGGTGTGCATGAGCATATATGTGCAGTGCTCTAACAGGCCAGAAGGGGGCGGAAGCTCTCCCAGAGCTGGAAATACAGTCTGGAAGCCACTCAACATGAGTGCTGGGAGCCAATTCTAGAAGAACATCACTCACTCTTAACCACTGAACCGTCTCTTCAGCCTCCAGATTTCAAAGTTTTAAAGATGCAGTGGCCATGCTTCCACAATGCAGCTGCACTTGCATTAGGGCTGTGCGGCACATCACTAGAGCAGTGTTCTGGGGAAGGCCCTCCCTCTTTGATATAGGTCTGATTCTGTGGCCCAGAATGGCCTAAAATCTTGTAGCGATCCTCCTGCCTAAGCTTCCCAAGTGGTGAGATTGCAGACATGAGCCACCATGCCTGGCTCTGAAAGTGTCTGAATGTAAACACAAAGTGAGTGTCAGGGAAGGCCTGCCACAATCCGTTATAAATAAAGCTGTACAGCCTTGTTTGCAAGCGATACATCCTCATAATCTGTGACTTCTGTAGGAAGTCACCAGACAGGAAAGCAAAAAGACAAGAGGTTGGAGGCTGGAGAGATGGCTCAGTAGTTAAGAGCACTTGTTGATCTCGTAGAGGACCAGCCCTGTTCCCGAGCACCCACATGACAGCTCACATCTGTCTGTCCAGTTCCAGGGGATCTGATACCCTTTTCTGACCTCCGTGGGTACCAGGCATGTATATAGTGCACAGACATACATGCAGGCAAAACACACATACACATAAATAAATCAAAAAGGGGGGGGGTCGTACAGGAATAGTGGAATTGGTGCAGCTTTCCCACTCTCCTCCTCCTCCTGCTGTGTGTGTGTGTGTGTGTGGTTACAACTGTATGTATGTATGTATGTATGTATGTATGTATGTATGTATGTATGTATGTATGTGAAGGTACATGCTCACACACCCCCAGCTTATTTGAGATAGAGTGTCTCCCTGAACCTGGAGTTGGCTGTTCTGACTAGACTGTCCGGTCAGCCCTGGGGAATCCATTTATCTCCATCTACAGTGTTGGGTTAGAAGCACACATGCTGCGTCCAGCTTTTACGTGGGGTGTAGAGGATCTGAACTCAGGTCCTCGCTTCACCACAGAGCCAGCTTCTCAGTCCACGACCTCTGTCTCTCTTTGAAGTGATCTGCTTTTTTTCAGACTTTGTAATAAAAAATTTCAAACGTGAAAATACAGCAAATGTAACAATGATTTCTACATATGTGGTTTTAATTTTTTGTGATTACTAATGTAGTCAAATACTTCTCTCAAACTCCTGAAAACCTCATAAGGAGCTGATATGTAAAATTAAATGAAATTATATAAAAAAAAAAAAAAACCCTCACAAGGAGCATAGTTTTTTTCTTTGTTCCTTACTGATCCACAGGAGCTTCCTTTGAAACGCGTGTTCTAGACAGACACTCTCTCAATGACGTGTCACAAGGGTCTACTTCGTGATTTGTCTTTTATTCTCTTTTGAAGAAAACAAGTTTTAATCTTAACCAATTGACTTTATAATCCTTCATGGTTGCTCCCTCTTCTTTCTGGTTTAAGAAATCTGCTGTACTTTAGATCAAGCATATCCTCTTATAAACTGGCTTCTTGAAGTTTTATAACGTTTGCCATTTATACTGAAGTCTTGGCTCTGCCTGAAGTGATTTTGTTTCTTGCGACATTTCATCTTGCTAAACAGTATCATTTCTTCCATGATGAATAAGAGCAACTCTGCCGGGTCCAGGTTTACAAGTGAATATTTCTGTCTGTCTGCAATCCTGTCTGGCTTTTCCAATCAGTCCAGCTGTGGCTCAGCAAGTACCTTTATTAGGGGAGCATAATAAAATCAACAACCTTGGGGGCTGGAGAGATGGCTCAGAGGTTAAGAGCACTGGTTGTTCTTCCAGAGGTCCTGAGTTCAATTCCCAGCAACCACATGGTGGCTCATAACCATTTGTAATAAGATCTACATACATAATAATATATATTATTTATTATATATAATAAAAATATCACTAAAAAATCAACAACCTTGCCGTGCTTTGGTTAGTATCTTTCTCCTATTTTCTTTTTTTTTTTTTTCAGTGTGAGAGTTGAACCTGGGGTTTTGCATGCAGTAAGCATGTATTTGCTGTCACTGAGCTATGTCTCAGTTTCTATTTCCCCTTTTCAAAGACAGACTTACTATGCAGTCCAAGCTAGCCTTAAATTCATAATCCTCTTGCTTCAACCTCCTAAACAGCTGGTGTTACAGATTTGTGCCACTGTACCTAGCTCTAGGCTATTCTTTTTTA